ATAAAGGAAAAAATATATAATATAAAAAATAAACTTATAATATAATAAAAATAACTGTTTTATGTCAATAATTACATACTGTTTACATGCTATTTTTTAATAAAGTCCGTATACAGTAGGTACTGTAAATTATGCATTACGCAAGTGTTCAAAACATTTATCTGTTGGACTTTTTTCCTTATTTAAGCTGCAGAATCTTTACCAAATGATTGTTTGACAGCATGACAAAGTATTTGTAACTTTTTTTTTTCCCATTATTATTTTTAAGGTGGTTTTGACGCAGCTTCCTGGTCAAGAGTTGACACTGGAAGTTTTTGATAAGGACATGGACATGAAAGATGACTTTATGGGCAGGTATGAGGACTGCTGTCAATATAATCCATAACTCTAAGCATGGTTTTGTTTTAGCATTATTTAGGCATATATTGTTTTTCTTTTAGGCTGAAGATGAATCTGAGTGACATAATCAGCTCTCAATACATTAATGAAGTGAGTATATGTGCATCAGTTGTAATAAGTCTAAAAAATAAGCTGTATGAATATACTGATACATGTGTGCTCTTGTGTTTGTGTGTCAGTGGTTTACTCTGAGCGACGGTAAGCGTGGCCGTGTTCATCTCGCTCTGGAATGGCTGCCCGCTGTAACACAGCCAGAGAAACTACAGCAGGTGAGCAAAACCAATCTGTGTTGACAATGCATTGATAAAACTAACTGGTTAACTGGGCGATTTATTCATCAGGTGTTGCAGTACCAGTCAAAGAGCTCATACCTGAATAAGACAGTGCCGACTGCCGCTCTCCTGTTTGTGTATGTGGAGCGCGCGCATGAGCTTCCTGTGAGTATGACACAAATGACATCTCTTTAATATCTTAATATCTCTGTTGTTTAGAGGAAAAGGAGACTGGGATCCTCCTGTTTGATTTTTCTACTGAGAAGACGACTTTCGTAATTTTGCATGTATCTCCTCTAAAGTGTAACTGTGCTAGTATTTGTCAAGAAACAGTGTGCATTCAGAAGTCTGAAACATTTACCCATATATGTGACCCTGGACCACAAAACCAGTCTCAAGTGTCAATTTTTCGAAATTGAGATTTATACATCATCTGAAAGCTGAATAAATAAGCTTTTTATTGATGTATGGTTTGTTATGATAGGACAATATTTGGCCGAGATACAACTATTTGAAAATCTGGAATCTGAGGGCGCAAAAAAATTTAAATATTGAGAAAATCGCCTTTAAAGTTGTCCAAATGAAGTTCTTAGCAATGCATATTACTAATCAAAAATTAAGTTGTGATATATTTACAGTAGGAAATTTACAAAATATCTTCATGGAACATGATCTTTACTTGATGTCCTAATGATTTTTGGCATAAAAGAAAAATCAATAATTTTGACCCATACAATGTATTTTTGGCTATTGCTACAAATATACCCCAGCGACTTAAGACTGGTTTTGTGCTCCAGGGTCACATTTGCTATCTGAGATGTTCTCATAAGGCTTATTGTTTCTGTGTTTAGTTGAAGAAGAGTGGAAAGGAGCCTAAAGTTGGAGCTGAGCTGATTTTGAGAAGAACTTCTCATAGAACCACGGTGAGAAACTGTTTTTGCACAAATACTGTTGAATTAATTCATTAATGATGTGTGGCTACAATTCATAATTTTTTTCTTTTACGGTGTGATGAAGGTATGCGATCGCACCAGCTCTCCACGGTGGGACGAGGCATTCCACTTCCTGGTTCAAGATCCATTGAACGAAGACCTTGTTGTGAAGGTTAGAGAATGCAAACAGCACATTTTTGTTATACAACTGTAGTGTTTGGCTTGCAACGCACCCTCCCACCTGACTTGAACCTTTCTACCTCACTTTGTCTCTGCAGTTGACCCACAACTGGGACTTCTCTCTGGGATCTGTGGTGATTCTCGTCAAAGAGCTTCTCTCTGAGCCAGATCTGATGCTGGACCAGTGGCTTGATCTGGATGGAGCGTCACCCCAGAGTCAGATTCTGCTCAGAGCTCAGCTGAAGGTAGAACACACACGCAGACATATTCTATTATTTTAAATGTTTTTGAAAGAACCCAGACTGCATTTATTTGATTAAAAAAATACAGTAAACACAGTACAATTGTGAAATATTATTACAATTCAAAATAACTGTTTTCTATTTTAATAGATTTTAAAATGTTATTTATTCCTGTGTGATGCAAAGCTGAATTATCAGCAGCCATTACTATTACTCATTACTCTTCATTGGCGCTTAATATTTTTTGTGGAAACCATGGTGCATTTATTTTCATAATTTTTGGATGAATAGAAATTTCAAAGGAACAGCATTTTTATTAAATGGAAGGTCTTAAATCAGAGCTGAAACTCTTAAATTCATGAAGTCATGGCATTAAATCTTGCATGCACTGCAAAAAATGAATATTTTCCTCTGCATTTTTGAATTCCATTACAAATATCTAAACATCCTTGAATCAAGATACATTTACTTTTGAGAGGCAAAATTAAGAAATGAATTCTTGTTTTCTGATAAATTGAACTAAATGCTTATAACATAAACGAATATCTGTCAGTAGGGTATGAAAATTACTTATCCGTTTGAATTAAGTTGATTTTCTGAGCACATTGGCAGATATGTGACCCTGGACCACAAAACCAGTCATAAGGGTCAATTTTTCTAAATTGAGATTATACATATACACTGAATAAATAAGCTTTCCATTGATGTATGATTTGTTATGATAGGACAATATTTGGCCGAGATACAACTATTTGAAAATCTGGAATCTGAGGGTGCAAAAAAATCTAAATATTGAGAAAATCGCCTTTAAAGCTGTCCAAATTAAGTTCTTAGCAATGCATATTACTTATCAAAAATTAAGTTTTAATATATTTACAGTAGGAAATTTACAAAATATCTTCATGGAACATGATCTTTACCTAATATCCTAATGATTTTTGGCATAAAAGAAAAATCTATAATTTTGACCCATACAATGTATTTTTGGCTATTGCTACAAACATACCCCAGCGACTTAAGACTGCTTTTGTGCTCCAGGGTCACATATGTGTTCCTGTTTTATTCAAAAACTCGTTCATTTTGAGCAGTTTAATGAAAAAAATACTTATTTTCTCATGTCATTTTGCTTAAGTAAATGCATCTTGATTTAAGAATTCAAATTATTCATTTATATTATACCTTCAAATTATTCATTAAATTGTCTTTACTTGGTCTTTTCAAGTCTGGTTTCCAAACAAAATAAAATTCTATCTGACCCCAAACTTTTGAATTGTAGAATGAAAGAGTAGCTTATACATTCTGCAGAATATCATGTAAAAGTTTCAAGAAGAAAAGAATCTGGTTCATTCAGTGGTGGTATATGATGGCATAATTGTCCTGTCTGCTTGAACTGTCCCATTAAAGTATTTGGTATTGATGTGATGTTTTCTTTATGTTGTAGATTCTTTGCTCTAAAGAGACAGAGAGCTCTGAAGACCATGAGGAACCTAAACGTCCTGAAGTGTCCAGCATTAGAAGAAAACAGGAGGAGGAATTAGTGCAGATGTGAGAGGAGGAGAATATTCATGTGTCGCAGTGCCTTAAAGGGATAGTTCACCCAAAAATGAAAATTTGTTGTTTACTGCTTACCCCCAGGACATCCAAGATGTAGGTGACTTTGTTTCTTCAGTAGAACACAAACAAAGATTTTTAACTCAAACCATTGCAGTCTGTCAGTCTTATAATGGAAGTGGATGGGAATCACGGCTTTGAGAGTAAAAAAAAAACATACACAAACAAAACCAAATTAAACCCTGCAGCTCGTGACGATACATTGATGTGTAAAGACACGAAACGATCGGTCTGTGCAAGAAACTGAACAGTGTTTATATCGGTTTTACCTCTGATTCACCGCAATGTCCGAACTGTCCTGAGCGCGTCCTCGACAGCCGGCGCGTGACACGTCGTCTTCTTCTTCTTCTTCTTGCTTTACCTATCTCTCAAATGGACCATTGACACTCTATCTACAATCTCAATTAGGAGTGTCAATGGTCCATTTGAGAGATAGGTTGGCGGTAATGCACTTATAAGTCTGCGATCCGCCGTAAAGCAAGAAGAAGAAGAAGACGCGTCACGCGCCGGCTGTCGAGGACGCGCTCAGGACAGTTCGGACATTGTGGTGAATCAGAGATAAAAAACTATTTAAATACTGTTCAGTTTCTTGCACAGACCGATTGTTTCGTGTCTTTACACATCAATGTATCGTCACAAGCCGCAGGGTTTAATTTGGTTTTGTTTGTGTATGTTTTTTTGACTCTCAAAGCCGTGATTCCCATCCACTTCCATTATAAGACTGACAGACTGCAACGGTTTGAGTTAAAAATCTTTGTTTGTGTTCTACTGAAGAAACAAAGTCACCTACATCTTGGATGCCCTGGGGGTAAGCAGATAAACATCACATTTTCATTTTTGTGTGAACTATCCCTTTAAACTGAAGTTCCTATTTACGATAGATCTGCAGAACTACCAACTGATATTTTGCTCGTAATTTCTCTTCAAATTTAAAAATCTCTTCTCTTTATAAAACCAGCATGATGAAATCCATCGACTAGTTAATAACAATAGAAATAATCAGTAATAATTTTATCATAAACAGATGTATTTAAGTAAGTGTTTGTTTATTGATTATAGTTGACTCTTAAGTGTATTTATGGATATTTATTGATTGATGTTTAAGAGGAACAATGTTTTCTGTTCATATTGTTGCATGTTATGTAACTTCTTTGGCCACGTAAAGCGAAAAGACTTAAAGAAATAAACTTTCTTTGACTTTGACGTGTGTGTCTGTTTGTTTGGGGGGTCTTAGGTCTAGCTTTGAGGAGGTCCCACCATCTCCTGTCAGCAGGACTTCCTCTGTGTCAGTCCCAGAAGAGGAAGAAGTCCCAGAGGTCACAGAGGACCCAGAAGTTTCCAGTTCAGATGACCTTCGACCCTTGCACACCATCCCTGACCCCAGCTTTGGTGCTGAGGTGAGAAATGTTAAGATGGATGGTGGACTGTTGATATGGCTTATAAAAGCAAACATACCAACATAATGGGGTGACCTTATGTTTTTTAGGGCGTGCTCCGCCTCCACCTGCTGGAAGCTGAAGATCTGGTTGCGAAGGACAACATGATGGGTAGGATGGTGAAGGGGAAGAGCGACCCGTATGTCAAGATTCATATCGGAGACACAGTCTTTAAGAGTTATGTGATCAAGGAGAACCTCAACCCCACCTGGAACGAGATGTATGAGGTGTGTTTAGGTCCTCAGATGTTGTTTTAGCTGATATTAAACATGGTTTTCAAAATAATATTCTGTGATCAATGCTTTTTCCAGCTGGTTATGACCTCCACGTCGACCTCTGATGTCCTTGTGGAGGTTTTCGACAAGGATGTGGACCAAGACGACTTTTTAGGGAGGTATGTGGCCGGGTTTTTATTGCTAACTAAAACTAAAGTTATATATTTAAAACTAAAATATAAATAAATACATGTAAATATTTTCAAAATATATGCTGTATGTGTGTGTCTTTATATATAGATAAATATACACAGTACACAGATATATATATATATATATATATATATATATAAAATAATAAGTATATACAGTATAAGCAATGAAAATGCAAACTAAAATCAAAAGATGTAATTAAAAATTAACACAAAAAAATGGAAATATAAATATAAAAGCTAATTTAAAGCATTTATTACTCGTCCATGTCATGTAATGCATATTTGCATATTAATTTTGCTTGGCCACAGGATGAAAATCAGCTTACAGGACATCATTCAGTCCCAGCTGACTGACAAAGTGAGTGATTCATCACTGATATCTTTCCTCATTCTCTTTAATGTATTTATTTTGAGCAATTTAGAGATTGATTGAATTAAACTGGCATTTACAGAGGATTGCTAATAAGTTTACTGGTAAGGTGAGAAAGTGTCATATTAGCAATTTAGTGGTATTACTGTTTTTTGATTATTCATTTCTGAGTAGATAATGTTTTTATGTAATGATTAATCATTTTTAGTTTTGCAAATTTCATTGTGTTTTCTTTCTATGTCAGTGGTTTTCTCTGAGTGACGTCAAACATGGCCGGGTTCATATGGTTCTGGAATGGCTGCCTACAGTCACACAACCTGACGGACTACAAAAGGTCATCATTAAATCTGATATGTTATGTTATGTTATGCAGACTTATGTTTTTTGAGTTTTAAAAGTAGTTTGATCTGTATGCGATCCATCTAGACATTTTTTTATTTAATGGATTTATTTCAAGTACCTCCTGAAATTTTAAGTGATTCTCTAATATTTCAGTAAAAATAATGAATGAAATGAAAAATAATAAATGTAATGATTAATTTTGTATGATCAGAGTAAAGTGTTATATTTGATGGTTTAATTTTAATATAAAATTATTTAATTTAAAAATATTAACATTTATGACATACAGTATTTCGAATATATATTACATATTTATATAATTTAATTGGCTATTTTTGGAGTTTGCTTTTTAATTTTACTTGTCAAGTGAGACTTGTGATGTATGTGTACACAGGGCCAAGATTAGTTTACCTTTCAGTAAAAATAATGAATACATTTAAAGAGTCATTTTGCATTAATGATTAATACATTTAATTACTCATTTTGAGTGTTAGATCAGGATAAATTGTTACATTTGATGTCATTTTAAAATTAAATAATTAAAAAATATTGTTTTAATGCATTAATTATTCATCTCTTAGTATGTTTAATGTGAATCAATTTATACGGTTTAATTTGATGTTCGACTTTCTTTTCTTGTTTTCTTTATGTCAGGCTCTGCAGTTACAGTCAGAGCATTCATACCAGAACAAATCTGTGCCGTCAGCTGCTCTGTTCTTCATCCTCTTGGAGAGAGCTCATGACCTGCCGGTACGTCTTACAAGCATCATCACACACAAATACAGTTACACTATATTGGACGGAATTGTCCTAATACTGTGTCATGTGTGCAGCTGAAGAAGAGTGGAAAGGAGCCCAAAGCTGCTGCAGAGCTGGTGTTGGGTGACATTTCTCATAAAACCAAGGTGGGAATTTGTTCCCTTTTGTAAAGATTAAGTTTTGTGTCAGTTTCTGACCCTTAATATAAGCAGCTTCTTTGCTGGTCTGTTTAAAGGTGTGTGACCGCTCCACGTCTCCCGAGTGGAGTGAAGCTTTTCACTTCCTCATTCACAACCCTACAGAGGAAATTCTTATTATAAAGGTAAAATAGATGGAATTATTATGCTTGCTGCTTTTATTATGCATTACATTGACCATTTATAATATGTATAATATAGTAAAATAATACTAATAATGAGATAATTAATTATGTATAATAAAAGTATTATATATATATATATATATATATATGATTTAAAATACATTTTAATTTATTATAATATAATTTATTTAAATTGAATGTATAACAATACTACTACTAGTAATAATAATAAATCATGATAATGATAACTATGATGATGGTGAATGATGATTATTACATTTGTAATACATTTTAAGTTATTATAATTTATTTACATTTAAATTAATAATTAAAAATAATAATTATAGTAATATATAACAATACTAATGATAATACTTTATTATTATTATTATTATTTAAATAAATATAATTTATGTATACCACATATTCAGAGACTATATGAAATATTTGTACTTTTAATATATTATTATCTAATTATTTGTATTATTTATAATGATATTATTAAATAATTAGAAATATATCATATTATTTTTCACACTGCTGGACCATTTAGAAAAAGGCGATTAGTTACAGGACCTAAAGTTTATAAAATTAATATAAATTTTAACTTGATTTTTCAGTATTGGTATAGTCCATGGACACATTGTGCATCCAAAACCCTTATATATATCCTTGTTACCTTGTTCATCTTTTTCTCTCGTTTTACCGTAGCTTTCAAGTGCCTTTGAGCAGCCCTTAGGCTCTGTGGTTCTACCAATCAGAGAGCTGCTTTCAAAACCAGATCTACTGATGGACCAGTGGCTGAGTCTGGATGGAGCGGGTCCTGACACTCAGATTCTGCTGAGGGCACAACTTAAGGTCAAACAATGATTCTTATTGCTTTTTCTAAATTCTACTTTAATTACCTTTAATAATTACCTTTTTCAAATTGTCATTTCAATTCATAAAATAAAGAAATATGTATATTGTATATGGATCTCTTGCAATTAGTTACATGTTGGTGTGTCAAATCTAGACCATTTGAAATGTATAAATGGCAAAATTACTCTACTTTAATTTCAGATTTTGGACTCAAGTTTGGATACAAGTGTCCTTCATCGTAAAAAGCCTGTTGTTGAAGAAGAGCATTCGGTGAGTGAACAGCGTGAAGAAAAAGCACCAATCGCTGTTGAGCACTCACAAGCTGCAGTCAGTAAGGATTCTGAGAAGAAAACACTGCCAACAAAAGGGTTCGTTTGTTTTGTTATGATTTCTGATTTCATAAGTCATTTTGCTTTATTTTGAGAACTAAACCAGACTGGTTGTGACCAACAGGCTCAGTGAACTAGCAGCCTTTACTTTACCAGTACCTGCAACACTGCCTGAAGAACATCAGAAACCCATGTCAGACGCCCATCACACGCCATCTGTCCCGAAAACACTGCTTGACACTGAGGTTAGTTTGTGTATTTAAAAAGCATAACTCACTTGAAGATTTTATTTGAATTGATAATTAATTTTATAATAAATATTTTACTTTAAAATTAAGTATTTTAATCATAACGTCATTATTTTAATTTTAATATAATACATTATATTATAAATTATTTATTTTCTTAAATAATTTTGTTTAATTTAATTTAATTACATTTTTTTATTAAACAGTATTTCAGATCCATTATATATATTACATTAAACTACTTTTTGGAGAAAAAAAATTAGATACAAAAAAAAGATTAAATATGGCACAATAAACGTTAAAAGTGAATGATGAAAAAGCTTCCTTTTAAATTATCTGCTCATTAAAGACATTGTTACCAGAGTTGATTTTGTATCATTGAGATACTATCATGGTGCTTTTATTATTTTGAATTTCTGAATTTTTCGTTTTCATTTTAATTTTAGTTTGTTTTAGTAATTTTGTCATCTGTTTTTGTCATTGTTCATACTAGTTTTTTATGTCTACATAGTTTTTATAAATTTTTACTTTAGTTTTAGTTTTCAAGTTAAACTAAATGAAGATGAGAAATGTTGCTTTAGCAATGAACAGAAATAAAAGGTCCGTGTACTTTTGCATCCATTAATTTTTTTTCCCGATTTTTAACCCAGAAATGAAATACAGAACATGCGGTTTTTCTTTAATGGTTCAAACACTGATGAATAGAATAAGCAGACACAAGCTAATTTTCATTATTCAAAATTCGTATTTAATTAAAAACCATTAAAAAGCTTGTTTTTTAATGTATATAAATGCTAAATTTAATTTCTATACAGTCTCTATACACAGACGCTTTTTGAAAATGTTTATTAAAGGTGCAAAAATTCATGAACAAAAATATCTGAAAAGTCAATATTTTACTTTTTCGAACAGCATTTTGTGTGTACGGTTCTACTTTCAGTTTTGGTTTTCAACATAGCGTTTAAAAATACAACAACCGTTCTTTTTTCATTTTTTCGTAATGGTTAAAAAAACAAATGGGCGCAAAAGTACACGGACCATAAAAATCCGTGTATCATTCGATCAAGAGCCGTTTTCTCATTTTTCTACTTTCAATATTAAATCAAAAAACGAATGATCGAATGATACACGGATTCATAAATTAAGTTCAATTTTTTTTTTTTATTCTATTTTAACACATATTTTGACAAACGTAAAGGTTTACTTTAATAACTATAATAACTCTGATTGTTGCTTATCATTTACAGGATCTCAGCAATGTTCCTGATTCCACTACCAGTGAGGGTGGATGTATGGAACCAGTCAAAACATTTGGATCAGCCCATGAAGAGCAAAAACACATGGAAAAAGCAGAAGAGCAGTGAGTTAAAGATTTGAGATGGTTTTGTTAATCCTGATTTAGCTTTAATTAACAAAGTAATATATTATTGAAAATCATAATAATGAAGGGCCATCATATACAGATTGATTTATGTGTGTTTGTTCATGCTAAACAGGTCTGGCAAGAAGGTTTCTCCCAGTGTCCCTGCAGAGGAGTCAAATGTCTCTAGCTCTACAGACGTACGACCCCAAAAGACTAGCCATGGCCCCAGCTTTGGCACCAAGGTGAGTGTTATCTTTTTGTTTAGGTTCTGTGATCAGTATACCCTTTTTTATTTTGGTATAGGTCTTAGGATGTTGGAACATGTCCTACTTGGCAGGATCACATTAGCAAATGTTATTATTGTTTAATATCTGTCCCATAGGGGGTGCTGCGTATCCATCTTTTGGAAGCTCAGGATCTGGTAGCGAAGGACAACATGATGGGTGGGATGGTGAAGGGCAAGAGTGACCCCTATGTCAAGATTCATATCAGAGACACAACCTTTAAAAGTTATGTGATCAAGGAGAACCTCAACCCCACCTGGAACGAGATGTATGAGGTGGGAATGCTGGGAAATGTAGTTTGGAAAAATCAAGGTGTCACAGAAATTACTTTATAAGAGATTAATAGTTATGTTTCCCATTTTTATTTACTAGATGGTTCTGAGTCCTGATAATAATCTAGATGTGAAGTTTGAGGTCTATGATAAGGATTTTGAATCTGATGATTTCCTTGGAAGGTTAGTACATTTACAACCACTATTACTCATTAAAGCGCAAGTCTTAAGAAACCAGATTTGCGTTATCAGTTAGATTTTGCATTATTACATAATTTTGTGGGACAGCTAGGCACATTCCCCCTCCATTTCATATGTATCATGGTAGTATTTGTTTTCAATTTATGTTTATGATTTAAAAAAAGAAAAAACATTGTAGGCCTGCCTACTACAGTACACCATTTTCTGTAATATGTAAAAAAAAAAAAAAAAAAGTCAAACTATATTTGCTGTTGATTTTGGGGTGAAATATGCCCCAGATACATTTTCATTAAATTTACTCTAAACATAAAAAACACTTTATTTCAGATAATATATTCATTAAATAAATGACATTTTACTTTGTCTTCGTGTGTGTTCAGGTTCAAGCTCAAACTTGGACATATCATCAGTACCCAGTATGATGATGAAGTGAGTAGCAACACATTTGGCTCTGATTTGTAAGATCACAACACAGTGAGCACATTAATCATTTCCTGCTGCCTTTTCTTTTCCAGTGGTTTACTTTGAATGATATAAAACACGGTCGAGTCCATTTGGTCCTGGAATGGCTTCCCACCTCAACACAGCGGGATAGATTGGATCAAGTCAGTTTTTCATGAAGACACACAGAGTCTGTTGATTATTTGTTTTATATCAAATTGACTCAGTGCTAAAAGTTGTCTTTTTTACTAGGTAATGCAGATGCAAAGCTCTCAGACCTACCAGAACAAGTCTGTGCCGTCAGCAGCGTTGTTGTTTATTTATTTAGAAAGAGCTCATGATCTGCCTGTGAGTCTATATACTTCTATACACTGCATATATGCATATATGTATGTATGTATTTTTATTAATTATGAGTATCACTGTATGTATATTTACTAGAAATTGTCTTTATTAAAGCAATCTCTATAAAGTATTTCAATGACTGTAAATGTAATGAAAGTTCTGTTACTAAAAAGATCCTGTTAATAACTCTTGATGGTTGTCTTGGCATCTAGTTGAAGAAAAGTGGAAAGGAACCCAAAGCTGCTGCTGAACTTGTACTTGGAGCAACATGGTATAAAACCAAGGCAGGATAATTTGATCTATAATAGCAATCATGCAGTACTATAAAAGGTTATGTGGCATTTATTTTAATTCATTTGTAATATATCTAATTTCCTTTTTCTGTGCTCTCTCACGTAAAGGTGTGTGATCGATCAACTTCTCCTTACTGGAATGAAGCATTTGACTTTCTGGTTCACGACCCCAAAAAGGACATGCTTGTCATTAAGGTGAGGATATTTTAGCCTGAAATGCCGTTAATATCATTTTGTGAAGATTAGATACAATAAAATTATGCAATGAATAATAAACTGATATTCAGCAGCTGCAATATATGACAATATATACTTAAAATTAGAGCCCGACCGATATGGGTTTTTTGGGGCCGATACCGATATTAGGGAGTAAAAAAAAGATATCGATATATCGGCCGATATTTTTTGTGTATATTATAGTACAGTACCAGTCAAAAGTTTGGACCATTTCAAGCATTTTATCTGCGTTATATGTTCTGTAAAAAAAATTTCATATCGGCGGCATATTCGTCAATACCGATATATCGGCGACAGGCTCATATCGGCCGATAATATCAGCAAAACGATATATCGGTCGGGCTCTACTTAAAATTGTCATTATTGTATACACAGTGCAGGGCCTTAGTGTCCTTCAAGTTAAGTACACACTTAACTTGCTAAAAATACATCAACAAACCTAAACTAACTTGCTCTGCATGACAGTAGTTGACCTGAAAGAGAAACTGATTGTAGAAGAAGAGTTTACACTAATGCCTCTATTGCGCCCCTTGTGGCAGCATGAGAATACAACAAGTATTTGTGTTTAAAATAGAAGGGTTTCTGCGTTATGCTTCACGTCTTAAATTATGATTATTTCAGACTCTTATTTGAGTTATTGTCATTCTGAGCAGATCTCAAGTGCCTGGGACCAACCTATGGGGTCTTTGGTTCTTCCAATCAGAGAGCTGCTTTCAAAACCAGATCTACTGATGGACCAGTGGCTCAATCTGGATGGAGCTTCACCAAAGAGCCAGATCCTACTCAGGGCACAGCTGAAGGTGAGACAACTTGAGCTATCTTCACTCATTTTGATCATTTTTGAGCACAAGATGTTTTGTTTAACTACTTTTTCTGTTTTATCCAGATCTTGGATTCAAAAATGGCCGCCTTAATAGCCATGGGTTCAGGTCCTGTGTTGAGTAATATGCAGACGGCCACCACTGGTCAGATCAAAATCTCCCTTTTCTTCCAGAAGAAGTTGACAGTGATCATCCATGCATGCAGGTCTGGTGTGATTAGAAACCCTTTTGACTCATTTCAAGTTCAGAAGTTACCTATGTAAGTCTGAAGTTTGAGGTGAAGTGAGTGAGGACGTTCTGTGTTTGTGTGTTTTCAGTGGTCTGGTTACATCATCTAAGGACAGCTTAGACACCTACGTCTCCCTCATTCTGCTGCCGGATAAAAACAAGGCCACGAAAAGAAAAACAAGTGTGAAGAAGAAAAATCTCAACCCAGAGTTCAATGAAAGGTTTGGAGAAGTGTGTGTGTGTCGTTCATGAATAAGGGAGATTCAAGTGAAGTGTAATCAGTTCTGTGAACTACGTACTATGGTAAATTACCTTACTTTTGCGTTGGAGCACCATCTAAACACAATGGTGTGTTAATATAATTATTTAGTAACATATCGGAATACTATAAAGATAAGGGTGTGTTTAATTCATTTTCAAACATTGTGTCGTGTAAATCTGTCTTTTGATTTTATGATCTGAAATGTGTTTGCATTTTCTGTCTTAGATGTGAAGTGGTTTTAAATGGGTTTTATCAGACCTTGACCCAGTGAGTGTGTCATAAACTGGAATGTTGTTCTGTAGGTTTGAGTTTGATATGAGTGTGGAGGACGCTCAGAGACGAGAGCTCAGCGTTTCTGTGAAAAACGCATCCTCGTCCTTCATGAATCGAGACAAAGACTTGATCGGCCAGGTCAGTCCGCCTGGGCTCACTTCAGCTCTACAGAAAAAAATAAACATAAAAAAACAGTATTTTTTTTTTCTCCTTGTCCATTTAAAATATCTAGACATTCTAACACTCGTATGTGCACAAAATTGTGTAAGATAATAAGAATTGTTTTAAGAAAAGTTACTTTTTTGTATTCTTTGTTTTAAATAAAATTCCAACGAAATGTAAAGTGCACATGATTTTTTTAAAAATAGATATTTTTACTGTAAAGCAAGACAAAAAAAAGTTGTCCTATGACTTTGTGCCATGAACAAATAACAGATTTTTATTGAATTTCATTTATGTAAATGTATTAAGAATAAAACTATATACAATTAACTATATAATTTTATTTGTATTCAAATTCATGAATAAATATTTTAATGTTCATATTTAATTTAATTTCATTTTTATTTAAAAATAAAATTATATATAAATTAATTTTATTTGTTACATTTTATAAATATTTTAATGTTTATAATATAATTTTATTATATTTATAATTTTAAAATATATATAATTTTTTTTTACAATCATTTATATTAATATTTATTTCATTTAATAATCATATTTAATAATCATTTTAACTATTTTAGTGTGTTAATGTATTGTTGATTTATTCTTGTAGGTGCAGATAGACCTGGGACATGTTGACTTAATCTCTGGAGTCACAGAATGGTTCGTTTTGGTAACATACAAATATTTTCCCATGGAATTATTTATTTATTTTGTTCTGATATCTGTTTAACAACTTCAACGATGGAATTTTTATTTTTGGATGAGCTGTTCCTTAAATTGTTTTTCTTTCTCTGTCAGGTTTGATCTAAAAGAAGAGCAGAACTAACTGAACACAATGCTCTTGACCTGAGCACTTCACAGCCAACCTTAAACCTCTTCCTGAAGTTCATCAGGTTAACTTCGCTGCTGTGTATCGCTGCCAGTGCTTCCCTTCCCTCTTTTTTTTTTATAACTTCACAAACACATATTTCTTCCCTCCATCTGTTTATTTATCAACAGATGATTTCGAGTGACCAGCTCATGTGATGAATGTGATTGATCTTTGTGGTTTGAACATATTGCTGCATTGAGTATTATATCAGAACTGATATATAAATTGGTGATGTCTGTAAAGTCAGTAATCAGACGACTGAATGTTAACCGTACGTATTTACAGAGATGAATGTTGAGCAGGTGTCTGGAAAGAGTCTCGTCTTCCTGTGCAGGTTGCAGGGACGTCGCATTTGTGCTTAAATTTAGAAGGAAATTATGTTTTAAAATGGGTTTTTAAAGCAAAGAAATGTTTTTGTTTTTATCAAACGTGGATACAATAAGAAATCTTGTTTAAATGTACAAATTCATGGATTATAATTGACAGATCTTTGTGCACCAAAAATATAAAGTGGTTTTATTTAGACAGTCTACATATCACCACCTAAAAACGTTATGTAAGATGACTTATGTGCTGTTACCACTGCAGATCTCCACAATCATAGTGTTGCGCTTCGAAAACTAGCTGCTGTTTACACATTGATGTCTTATGTAGCTTCTGCAGTCCATTGTGATGCCAAATATCTAGAAGCTCACATTTTTTAGCCAAAACTGTTGTTAAAGCTTGCTTACATTGTGTTCAATCTTAAAAGAGTCATTTTTATTTGCAGTCGTTTATGTTGCCAAAAACTGCCTGGTCTATACTTAGGGTTCCCATACTTGTGAAAACCTTCAAACATCGGGGAATTTAAATTGATTTCCAGGCTTGCAAAAATCATGGAGCATAAAGTGTTAAAAGTCCCAAAAATGTCTGTAGTGAGTGTCAATTTCTGGTTATGCTTTGACATTGGGTTTCAGAGTCATATGCATTGAATCAAATGCTTTGAGCTGCATTCAGAGCTCAGGCTCTCTCTTTTTTTGTCTCTTTGGAGACTTGTACACCATGTATGGTTGTTTAAATCATTTAATTCCAAGGATTGGTACCCGAGTTACAAATGAAACGCCAGTAATGTCTAAAATGATTTTAATGATATTTACCACTAATAACTGGATATGGTGATAATGAACAACTGTAAATGTCATGGAAATTCATTTGTTAAAAGGGTTAAAGCCCTGTGCAAGATCTAGACCAATAGCAAATGCCTTTTGCTGAGCTTTGTTTGTTTTTTCATGATTTTTTTTACGTTTATAATATACTTCTATACACAAACTACCATTCAAAAGTTTGGGGTCAGCAAGATTTTTTAAATGAATACTTTTATTCAGCACGGACACACTAAATTGATAAAGTTGACACTAAAGACATTTATAATGTTGCAAAACATTTCTATTTCAAATAAATGCTGTTCTTTTGAACTTTCTACTCACCAATCATAAAATAATCACATTTTACTCTGTTTAAATAAATAATTGGAACCTTGGGGAGAATAAGACAAAGAAAAAAAAAATCCTAGACCCCAAAGAGTTGAACTAGTGCACAGTATTTTTTCGTCATAGGTTTTACTTTACTAGTTGGGAGTTCATATTTTGCATTCAATTTGTTTTCTATCACTGTGTGCATGTTATACTTATTTCCACAATTGTTATATTCCACATTAAAACATGCTGTAATGTGTTGAGATTTATGTGCAAATTAGTAAACACCAAAGAACCAAACCATGCTACAGATGACCGTGTTCAGCTGAACTGCACTACTCTGTCACATTTCTGTATGTATTGTCTCATATTCACAGCTGTCAATAAAAGAGTTATGGCATCAGAATGTTGTCAAAAGCCTTTGATATTCAAACCACATAAGCATTACTACAACATACCTCAAAAATCACTAAAAAGATCTTCTGTGGAAGTTGGTTTTTATTTCACAAACCAGTCTATGTTGATCATGCACAGCTTTATTGATGCTGCATTGTGCAACGAAACAAACATTTGCAACTATTTAAAGGACATGTGGTCTTATTTTATGTAGGCTGTGAAGTGATTATATAGATAAAAACAGTCCATCAACAATACTTTTGTCTTAGTATTTTACGAAAAGACAGTGTGACAAGCAGTTCACACATGAATATTATAATGACAACACGTTTTCTCATGGTACGAAGGCAAGAGTGTGTTTCTCCCTGAAGGGAGACATAATCAGTCTTCAAACCGACTTCCAGGTCCATTTAAGCATCTTCCCACAAATATCCAAAGACTTCAAAACCATTTCAGTTTTATGTGAGACTGGAAAAGAAGAAATAATGAGGTTGAGTTGGCTTTGAAATAATAATAAGAACATTTTTACTTAGATAAACTGTATGTATTTCTCCAGACTGAGATGCGGCACACGTGAAGTTTCCATCACATACCTGTCGATGAGCGAGTCTCTCATAGTAGTTGCGATGGCGCTGGGCTGCGTTTCACTCAATCTGAAGACGCTCTCGATGACGGACAGCTCAGTGCTCGTGGTGTCCAGCCCACAGAAGGCACACCAGTCGTTCACCACCATACCAGCAGCGATCACCTCACTCCCACGATTCACCGTTCCAGCCTTCACAGAGAAAACAATCAGAACACAATTGTGACCCTGGACCACAAAACCAGTCATAAGGGTCAATTTTTTGAAATTGAGGTTTATACATCATAATAACATCTGAATAAATAAGCTTTCCATTGATGTATGGTTTGTTAGGACAGGACAATATTTGGCAGCTATTTGAAAATATGGAATCTGAGGGCGCAAAAAAATCAAAATATTGAGAAAATCGTCTTTAAAGTTGTCTAAATAAAGTTCCTTGCAATGCATATTACTAATCAAAAATTAAGTTTTGATATATTTACAGTAGAAAATTTACAAAATATCTTCATGGAACATGATCTTTACTTAATATCATAATGATTTTTGGCATAAAAGAAAAATGGATAATTTTGACCCATACAATGCATTTTTGGCTATTGCTACAAATATACCCCAGCGACTTAAGACTGCTTTTGTGGTCCAGGGTCACAATTATCAATGAGTCAGCATCAGTGTAAAGAAATCAAGTAGTTCCTTGCATAAATATATAAAGGTTTCTGACAAAACACCAGTTACTTCAGTCTAGGGTTTGACGATGTAGTGAATACATTTGCCCCTATTAGTCATTTCACATAAATTTATAGATAAATACTCAAGGTATATAATAGTCTGAAAATTAGGATTGGTAGAATCAACTATCATTGACATTAAAAAGGCAAAGATTAAAACAAAAAATGAGTAACTTTGATAAACTTCTACACAAATGATCAAATACATCCTCTGTGTATGTATATTTTGCATAACAAATAATAATAGTGATTCTTATCTTAGTAAACACCACTATTTACACTACTGTTCAAAAGTTTAGGTCGGTAAAGATTTTTTACAATTTTAAAAGAAGTCTCTTAAGCTCATCAAGGCAGCTTTTATTTGATTAAAAAACAGCAAAGACAGTAATTTTATGAAATATTATTACAATTTAAAATAACCGTTTTCCATTTGAATATATTGTAAAATGTAATTTATTGCTGTGATGCAAATCTGAATTTTCAGCATCATTACTCCAGTCTTCAGTGTCACATGATCCTTCAGAAATCATGTTGATTTGTCCAAATGAATGGATTGTCAGAGAGCGGTCACTCACCACTAAAGGTACTTGCAGGAGTGATGAGAGTTCATCTTGATCTTCTATGGAGGTTTTGGGGTGGACGAGGCCTCCCTGGTTACTGAAGGCGCAGTAACTACCCACAAGCACCTGCTCCGCAATCGTCTGTCTGAACACTTCCACCTTGAGAGTGTCTGCAAGAATCTCTTCTGTTTCCTGTGGACAATAATTCCCATTAAAGCCCATTTAAGGTTCGGAGAAAGCAAACTCATTTCAGAGAGTCTTTCATTAGGGATGTTCTTACTCTGTCAAGATCAGGATGAACTAGAGCAACATAGTCGTTACAAGCGATGACGTTCCCCAGCGCAGAAAGACGCTCTTCTACTCTCTGAATCTGCACTGAATCTGGCAGGCAGTTTCTAATGTGCTGTAACTCTTGATCTGTCGTGTTGTTGGGCACCAAGAGACCGTGACGATTTCCTGCAGAAGAAGAGCATCCCAAGACAGACACACAACATCTATTATACATCACGTATGAGGACATAAAAGCGTACCAAGACCTACTCTGACCCGACTCAGTTTCATCACATTAAAAGTCTTGTTACATTATTTACGATGTCTGTATTTCAATCAGCATACAAGAAACAAAAATTATGTCAATCGATCACAAATTTGTAAAATAAATTGGATTGGATATATTTCCTCACCCACACACATTCTGCCAATGATTCGACATCCTGCTATTTTGTGAGCTTGGCAAAGCATCCAATTTCATTATTCTTTTCAAATGACGCACGGACTGCCATTCTTCTGCTTTTGAACGGATCAAAGCTGTCTGAAACTGATGAGAAACAACATTCATAGGGATATAGTGATAATAAGAAAAAAAAAGAAATAGGGAAGTTATAAAAACATGATATACAACAAACATTAGTAACAGTATACAGCATATATATATATATATATATATATATATATATAACTATGATCTGGTAACTTGAGAGTTAAAAAAAAATTGCTTTCAATGTATTTCTCTACTATTAGGTTTTGATCCCAAAAAGAAACATAAACACTTATATTTCAATGGGGAATTATTATAAAGGATAACAATCGTATTTCTAAATAGTACATATGGTACTATTTTAGGATTAAATCACATCTTTGTATTGTGTTTTGATTAGGTTAGAGAATGTACTTCTGAAACGATTATTTTGAAACATAGGGGACTCTAGGGCACCACGATTAAATAAAGTAATTCTCAACAAAACCTGAGGGTTAAACTCGTTCTAAGTAACTTTCATTAAACAGCACTAGTTAAGGTCGTTAGCAGTCGGCTAAATGAAGTTATTTTAACTTCTCTATTCATTATTCGCTATCAATTCGGTGTCCTCAAATGACAACGCGGTTAACAATACATATTACATCCAAACTGTAATAACTTCACTATAAATTTCATGGCAATTACAACAGTAATCTTATATTTACCGATAGTCACTCTACGTAGAAGCGTGGACAGCCGTAAACCACGTGTTCACGTCACTTCCTGGACGTGCTGACGTCAACGCGTTACGGTACGTGATACGTTAGCCATTGTGTCATGACAGTTTAGGAGGTCTTAATGTACTTGACTTTAATACTGATAAATATGTATTTAAATATTTAAAAACAAATGGATTAAGAACTACCTGAAATCCAAAGGCAAAATTTGGAATATCATCCTTGAGTTAATTTTTTTGACAAGTTAGGGGGTTTACATTTTTGCTTTTTGTTTTTTTGAGGTGTAATTTTGATGTAAACAAGCTTTCTTCTTTTCACAAACAGGTTTGTTTATTATGGATGCTCATAACTTTTCTCCACATAACAGTGATTTGGACCAACAGATATATTACGTTTAAAAATAAGTCCTTATTTTACAGAAACTGGTACAATAATGGTATAATCTTGGTGAGAGTTATTCAAGAATAATGGACATCTCGTTAATCACTGTGAATTCCTTAATTATTACAAGATCCCTGTAACTGTTAAAGGGTTTGCAGTAGTATTTGAAGCCATGCTTAGTGGCCTTATTCCGCTTTTTTTGCCTGGCAATTTATCTTCTTAGTCTATCCCCTTATATACGAATCAGTTAAGTATTAATGGTGTGAAAATTATAGATAATAAATTTAATAACTTTTATATTAAAAAATTATGTAGAACCACATTGGAGTTCGTTATATGATCAGATTGAATGGACAGAGGTCTGGAATTTACCTAGTAAATACTGTCTCACCAATAAAGTTAAAGAAGTTACATATAAAGTTATTAATTTGATGAGACAAGTAGTCACAAATTTTTTTTAGAGACATTGAGACTGCATGCGTCTTTTGTCACTTAGAGGAAGAATCCATAAAACACTTATTTTATGAATGTGTATTTACCCAGATGTTTTGGGTTGATATTGAATATCTCATATTTAAATTGATAAAATTAAAGATTCGATTCTCTGGTAAAGATATATTTTTGTTGTTTAAAGATAAGAGCTTCGAGCAAAATTTGGTGATTAATTTAATCATTATTTGCTAGATAAGTTGCTAGATGTTATTTGTATTGATTGTTTTTAATAATAAATATGATTAAAAAAATAATAATGCAATATAAGAATTCAATTAAATTGGATTTTTCAAATAAAATTTTGATTTGAATTGAATTTAAATTTGTCAGTTGTTAGTGTACTGATACATATATGTTGGTATAGTGTAGATTGTGTACTTTTA